CCTCCCGCCCGCCCCGCCCGGGCGGGGGGGGGGGGGGGGGGGGGAGGGGAGGGGAGGGGAAGGCCGCGGGGAACGACGGAGCCCCAGCCGGAGGGGGGAGCGAGAGGGGGAGTGAGTGAGGTGATGCCCCCCCCTCCCTTGACACACGCACACACGCGCACACCCGTGTGCTTGTGGCCCGCCTCCCAGGTTCGTCGTGCGGGTGATGTGTTCCGTGCTGGGCCTCCTGGTGCGGCAGAGCCAGCCTCAGCAGCGCAGCCTCCGGGCCCGCGTCTACATCGCCAACCACGTCACTCACTTCGACCACAATGTCATTAACTTGCTGACCTCTTGCAATGCGGTGAGTAGGAGCCTGGCCCCCAGGAGGGAGGGAGGGGGTGGTGGTGGTGGTGGTCTGAAGTTCACCTCGGCAGGTGGCCTCATTCCAGTGTTTTTGGTTTTAAAAAGGGGCTGCCGCCCCGAGCATTTTGTGCGACATTCGGGAAGTCTTTTTGGTGGTTTATCTTCCCCACCTGGAGGGAGGCAGTTCCCTTGGGGCGGCTCACAGGCACCCAGAAATTGTTTCCTGTCCTCGGCGTCTGAGCTGTGTCTGCGTGTGTGGTGCGTCTGGGACCGTCAGTCTCACTTTCTCTTTTTTTCCCTCCACAGCCCATGCTGAACGGGGCCTCTGGCTTCATCTGCTGGTCCCGGGGCTTCCTGGAGGTGGGCAGCACAGGAGGGCGAGCGGAGCTCCTGGAGTCCCTGAAGGCCTACTCCTCCCACGGAGGCAGCCCGCCCCTGCTGCTCTTCCCCGAGGAAACCACAACCAACGGGAGGGCCGGCCTTCTGCGCTTCAGGTGGGCTGGGGGGGGGGACAGCGGGCGGAAGGGGACGGGCGCCATCCACCGGCTTGCCTCTCTCCAGGCCTGGCCTTGCTGACCAGGCTCTTTCCTCTCCAGCACGTGGCCGTTCTCGATCTTGGACACGGTCCAGCCAGTGGCCCTGCAAGTACAGAGGCCCTTTGTTGCTGTGGTGAGTGCTTCCGGGGGGTGGTGTGCTGGCTAGTGTTGTACCTTCGCTCTGCCCCTGTTTTGCACATTCTCAGGTCTTTCCTTTCCGTTTGGAAAGCATCGTGTAGCAACGAGTCTGCCGGGGGGGGGGACGGGACGAGTGTGCTTGAACCGGTCCCTCCGGGGCTTTTTACCGTTTCCTTTCCCTCTCTCTCTCTCTGAAGAGCTCGGCTGATGCCTCCTGGGTGACTGAGCTGCTCTGGACTTTCTTTGTTCCCTTCACCATTTATCAAGTAAGGTACTAATTCTCTCTAACTTTTTGGGGGAGGGAGGAGAGGAGCTTTTGGAAGCATATACTAAGGAGCAACGCTCCCTCTAAGCTGCAGAGACTTCTGAGCAAAAACTCTACTTTTGGCATTAAAGTTGTGAGCGAGCGATTTGGCCCCTGCATCAATAAGTTTGCTCTGGATCCCTCCTTCCTGAGCCGAGACAACGACGTGTGAGCCAGAGGCTAAAAAACTGTGAGCCAGCTCACACTAACTCAGCTTAGAGGGAACACTGCTAAGGAGTGCCAGCTCCATCGTCCCCGTGTCCTTGAGCTCTTGAGAAGAAGGGTCCCTTTACACTTGCGTGGAGAAAGAGAACCAGTTCGTTGCCCGTGCATTCATTTTGGCTTTCTTTCTTTCTTTTGCCCGGTGCAGGTGGCTCCCTTCAGTCTGCAGACGAGCTGAGGAGACCCGGGAGGAGCTGGCTCTTCGAGTCCAAGAGGTCAGGACAGAAGCCCCCAAGGCAGCCGTGTTGCTGTGGTGCCCACTGCCCTCGCTGTTCCACACCCCGTCCTACTGGTTGGGGGGCCCCTGCTGTTAGGCAGGAGGGAGCATCCCTGTTGACCTCTCTCCCTCTTGCAGCTCCTGGCCTTGGAGCTGGGTGTGGCATCGACACGGGTCACGGCCACTGACAAAGCAGAGCACCTGAAGCGGCTGCGCCACAGCCCTCCAGTTCCCTATGCCCCAGGTGAGTAGTTCTTCCCACCTCGTGCCCGGCAACATAACCACCCCTTTGCTCGTTGGGTGAGCAGCTGGCCCCAGTCCTGGCCTTGGGGGCCCGTCTGAGCTCTGGTTTATAGAAGCCCGCCCGGGGGCGGGGATGGGGATTTCCCCCCCAGAGGCGTGGGTTGACTCTTCCTGTGGGAAACAGCACCGGGGGTGGGGGTGGGGGAGGTGGCTGTGCCCCGCAAATGCTCTGGAAGTGGAGCCTGGGCAGAGCAAGCACAGTTTTCAGCAAACGCTCAAGTTCCGCCCATCTCTCTCTCAGTCCCGAGTCAGCCCTTGGCAGCCCGGCCTCAGGCTTCCTCCAGCTCTCCCCCCGCAGGGGACCCGCGCTTGATGGGCATGGCTCAGCGTGTCAAGGAGGTCCTGCCTCACGTGCCCCTGGCAGTCATTCGCAAGGACTTGGGTGAGTGAGCGGATGACGGGCGGGGAGCCAGGTGAGGCGACAGGGGGAGGGTTTCTGCAGGTCGGTGACTCTGCAAGGTGAAGCCCGATGTCCCATTCCGGGTACTGCAGACCAAGGAAAACATCAGTGAGGCGGGACAGTCAGAGGGGAGTCAGTTGGAAGTGGACATGAATCGTCTAGCGTTCACGTCGGCACCAGAGGCGGCCACATTAGTCTTTTGTAGTGGGATTACACAGGAGACCACGAGCAGCACCTTAAATACAGGATTTAATCCTCCTCGAGTTTCCATGAACCAGGCCTCACTTGATCAGGTGTGCAGGAGGACACCGACCCGAGTCTGCGTTTCGAGGACCTGCCTGGCAGAGCTCTGCCTTACCAAAGTTTATGCTTGAGTAGCTTTTGTCGGTCTTGGCAAGGTGCCGTTGGACTTCAGTTTTGTTTTCTGTAGATGATTTAAATCAACTACTGTTATCAGTAGAAACCTGCAAAGCAGCATACCATAAAATCATATAATGAGAATAAACTATCAGTATAGTCAATGAATTCACTGTTGATTTAAACCCAGGAAGGGGGCGGGGAAGGTTAAACACAGCCAGAAATAATCTGGTATAATAACAGCTTTGAGGCCTTGGCGGAGGCTCATTTCCCTGCAAGGCGAGTGATGCAGTCTCCGGGTGGCAGACCCCTCCTGCCTGCCTGACCTCCTCTGTGAGGCCGTGATTGGGGGGGGGGAATGCCAGGGTGGGGGTCACTCTGCAAGTGCTTTGAGGGCTGCTTATTTCAGCATTTGTTCCTGTGCCCACTTTGTCAGATGCTAAGGTGGAGGTGTTGTGGTTCCACAAGACCCTGTCAGTCTTTTGTGGGAAACCCACACTTGGCTACTCCTGCAATAATGTCCCCTTGTGCCGCAGATCTGTTTCCTACCAGAAGGCTTTTTCTCTCCTTCTCTCCTGCCCCCCTCCCCTCCCCAGTCGTGCTTGTGGAACTGAAGTTGAGGCCGCAGCTGCCGCCTGAGCAGGGGCTCTCTGAGCACTCCTGTTGCCTGGCGGAAGGAGGGAGCAGTTCAGCATCGTGCAGGGCCATCGGCAGTGAGCCGGGGACGGGCTCGGGGCTTCTAGAGCACTGGACCGAGGGGAGAGGACTCCAGCCCCGAGAGCCATGATGGTGTTCGAAGGGAGTCCTCCCCCCCAGGCCCCTCACGCGCGGCCTGCCTTTCTCCCCCCCCCCCCCCGCCCCATGGTTGCCACCATTGCCAACCTGCTGGAGGGGCGGGTTCCCTTCACCCCCGGCGAGGCAGAAGAGGAGCCTCCCTTGCCTGGTCCGTCGGTCCCCAACGCTCAGTCCCCTGCGTCTCCTCCTCCGGCCACAGTACGTGCAGACCACCTTTAGGGGCAGGGGAGGAGAAAGCAAGCATGCACGGGGGGGAGGGGGTTGTGTGGGGGAGCCTTGGGTGACTTCATCTTCCCCTTCCTCTGTTTCCTGTGTGCAGCTGCCCCTGAAGGTTTTTGCCCGGTCCCCAGAGGCAAGGCACCTCTCCCTGCAGGACCGGAAGCATGCGCTCTTTGACTACGCCAGGAGGTGAGCCTGGGGCCCCCCATCGGTGGGGGGGGCAGGGAGGGCTTGCGGTGCTGTCCCTCCCTCTGCCGGCCACTGCCTCAGGCGGCTTCCCTTCCCTCCGCAGGAGATACACAGAGAAGCACGGGATGCCCCAGAGCTAGGGGAACTGCTGAGCAGATCACGCTCCTTCTCGTGGACGGTGGTGGCTCTTGGCGTGGATGGCTGCCGTGTACAATTAGCGGCCTGTGACCACAGCTCAGTGGCGAGGGAAGAAGGCACCTGGGTCCCAGGCCACCCGTGCTTTCGCTCCAGGCCCTGGACTCAGCACAGCACTGGAGGGCCCCGGAGCCTGCTGGGGGGGGGGGGCAAACAGGGAGGCTTTCGCTATCAAAAATAAACATGACTCAAATTCTCACTTGCCCATGTGGGAGCACCTCCTTATTATGCTACAGCCGAGCCCTGATATGTGGCCCCAGCAGGCCCTCTGGAAGGACACGCAGCCTGTTCGGATTGGAATCCTACGATCATGCAGCTGGAATCATGCAGCTCGACAAGCTGCCTGGAAGAAAGACCCCACGCCTCCTGGGTCCCCCAAGGTGGGGAGGAGGGTTCCTGACCGATTCTCAAGGGCTGTTGGGAAAACAGATACGGCTGCCTCCGGTGAAGTTGGGGCATTGGTCTGTCCAAAGTCTGGAGATGCTCCGGGCAGCCTCTGGGTGTGTGTGTGTGTGTGTGAAAGTGTTGCACTAGGATCTGGGAGGTCCCGGTTCGAATCCCCACACTGCCATGGATGGAAGCCTGCTGGGTGACCTTGGGTCAGGCACACTCTAAGCCCGGCCTGCCTCACAGGGTGGTTGTTGTGAGGATTAAATGGGGGAGAGGAGAAGAATGTGAGCTGCCTTGCCATCCCCATTGGGGTGGGGAGGGGGGGAGAGGGAGGCAGGGCTTAAAAGAAGAATGCAGGCGTTTGCCCCCTGAACCACAGAGACCGCCAGACCCACAGTCTCTCACGCTCTTTGACTGCACCGTTTTATACCAAGTAGTTTCAGCCAGGAAGGAGAACTCTCAGTGAAGAAAGAGACTGTGGAGCACCGGGGGGGGGGCTGTTGTGTCACTCCTCTGGCCCCTGGGGGGGGGGTTTGCTGGGCAGGGTTCCCTTCAAGCG